AGGAGGAGGAGGAGGAGGAGGAGGAGGAGAAGGAGGAGGAGAAGGAGGAGGAGGGAAGCAGCTGCGCCCTGCCGATCTGTCGGGGGCAGCGGGAGACGCTGTGCGCCCCGCCAGTTCGGCTTCCTCGGGCCAAGCGGCAGGGCGACCGTCTCCTCTCTCCGGGCGGCAGCGAGGCGCCTCCTCTCCGAGCGGCAGGGCGGGCTGTCCTGTCAGATTCGCGGAGGTCATGCCAACTTCTTCTTGCATCGGCAGTCTCCCCCCTCCTCCTTCTCCTCCTCCTCCTCCTTCTCCTCCTCCTCCTCCCCCTCGTTCTCCTCTTCCTCCTCCTCCCCCTCGTTCTCCTCCTCCTCTTTCTCCTCCTCCTCTTCCTTCCTTCCCCCCATTGCAATGCCCTCACGCTGGCGGCGCTCTGGATCCCAGCGTGCGGCCCCCACATCGAGCGCCTCGGGCCCCGAGCGCATCGGGCCCCGATCCCAGCGTGCGGCCCCCACATCTCGCGCCCCTGCCAGCCCGCAGGGGCCAGTGCAGAGGGAAGAGAGAGGAGGAGGGATTCTGATGATGATGATGCTGCTGATGATGATGCTGATGATGATGATTATGATGATGATTATGCTGATGATGCTGATGATCATGATACTCATGATGATAATGATGATGATGATGCTGATGATGATGCTGGTGATGATGATGCTGATGATGCTGCTGTTGTTGCTGTTGATGATGCTGATGATGCTGATGATGCTGATGATGGTGGTGGTGATGATGATGCATGCTGATGATGCTGATGATGATGATGATGCTGTTGCTGCTGCTGCTGATGCTGATGGCGATGCTGACGATGCTGACGATGCTGATGCTGATTATGATGATGATGACGATGATGCTGATGCTGATGCTGCTGATGACGATGCTGCTGCTGTTGATGATGACCGCGTGCGGGCGATAAGAAAGTACCCCCCCTTTCCCCCCTCCAATTTCTAATTCCTGTCCAATCGGACTTAATTGTGGAGATGGGCGCGGAGGCCGAACTTGATAATCCACCGGGTCTGTGAGATTCTCACCAGTTCAGTTTGCCCAAGTCACTAACGTGCGGCAGGGCCATGGGATTCTCACTTTCTCAGCCGTTCCCGAGTCAGGAAGTTGTAGCCACGAGCCTCGAGATCTCTCGAATCAGTCTTTTGCCCCGCCATCGTCATCATCATCATCATCATCATCATCATCATCAGCAGCAGCAGCAGCAGCAGCATCATCATCATCATCATCATCATCACCAACATATCTTCACCTTCGCCGGGAAAATCGGTTATTATCACCGCCAGACCCCCGAACTTTACTATCCGCGGGGTATTCTTATCGCCCGCGCTGGGTTGATGGTGATGATCATGACGATGATCATGATGGTAACGGGTCTCGCACAGAGAGACACGTCTTAGATACTGTACCTTCGAACTCCTGGAAGGAGCTACGTAGACAGAAAGACAGAGCGATCCTTCTCGGGGCTGCTGTGGGAGCCTCCTCCACGGGCATACTGCGCCACGCGCGAAGCCAGGCGCGGAGTGCTCCGGAGTGCTCTCCAGGCCCCGCCTGGCCCCTCCCAGGGCTCGCCTGCGGAGAGAGCGGGGCCAAGGTTGTGCCTAGGGTTAGGTAGGTCATGCCCCTCTACAGGAGGAGTGTGCAAATAGTCACAACATTGGCCTGTAGGATGACGTGCCCGACCTAAGCCTAGGAACAACCGAACCCACCAGCAGTTCCTGCTCATTGTGAGCAGGGCTCGCTGTCGGTGTCCCCGCGGATGTGGTCCGTTTGAGACAGGCGGCGGGCTGCCCAACAGTGGCCGCTGCCAGTTTTGGGCATTATTTGTTGTTGGGAATCGTACTCATTGTTTTTCGTATTCAGTCGGAGCGTCCCGAGAGAGGGAGAGGAGGGGAACAGGGTGACCTCGGACGGGGCTAGGACGAGGATACACTTGTTCCAGAGCGTGCCGGAACGCCCTCAGAGTGTTCTGGAATGCCCTGAGAAGGCCGCGGCGCCCGACACATCCTCCAGAGCCGCAGGACCTCAGAGATTCGCGGCATATCCTCACCCGATTTTATCCCCGCCCTGGGTTCTTTTCAAGGTGAACCACCATGCGACCGCCCACGATGCTGCCGCCGCCTCCCCTGGGAGGGTGGAGGAGGAGGACGCGGAGCACGAGGAGGAGGAGGAGGACGAGGAGGAGGAGGAGGAGGAGGAGGAGGAGGAGGGGGAGGAGAAGGTGGAGGGGGACGAGGAGGAGGACGAGTAGGAGGACGAGGAGGACGAGGAGGAGAAGGAGGAGGAAGAGGACGAGGAGGAGGAGGAGGACGAGGAGGCGGAGGATGAGGAGGAGGAGGAGTAGGACGAGGGGGACGACGAGGACGAGGAGGAGGACGAGGAGGGGCGTTCCGAATGGGGCCCTGCCTCCGAAGATCGAAGGAGCTGTCATCTCTTCCTCGGCGGAAGGCCGGTGGAATGTCGGCGGAAGTACAACGGGGCCGCCTCCGCCGGCGGAAGCTGGCGGAAGGGCGGTGGAAGGTGGCGGAAGTAAAAATTGTGCCCCCAAGAGATGACGATTTTTTTTGGGTTCGGGGTTTCTGGAGTCGCCCAAATGGTTTTTCGCTTCAGAGATTCTGTCTACCCCCGAGGCTCCCTTTCCCCCAGACGGTTTTGAGGGCTTGTGGGATCCATGTTGCCCACATGGGGTCGAAGTACAAACGGGGTCGGCGGATCGCGCCGCATCGCCGATGCATCGCCAACGCGGCTCGATAAGGAGCCCGGTGTTCCACACGCCGCCGCCGCCGATGCATCGAGCATGCGCGAATCGTCGGGACGTCCGAGAGTCTGCCTCCTCGATCCTCGAGGGTCGAGGGCAGGACTCAGACGCGAGGCGGCAGCTCGGCCCCACGTGGCCATCGGCCCTCGAGCCTCGAGCCCCGCTTCCGTCGGCCCTCGAGCCTCGAACCCGGAGCCGCGAGCCTCGGCCCTCCAGCTCCGCGCAGGAAAAGGGATGCCCTTCTACTGCTGCCCTGCCGCCGTTGCTGCCTCCGTGGTGGCTCCCGGGAGGCCACTCGCCGCCTTCCGCTGGGCTCGCCACGAGCGCACCTCCGGGAGGGGTCCTTGAAGTAGCGGTATCGGCACCTAGTCTGAAGTCGGGCGCGTCCCTCTACGGAAGGAATGTTCACAACTAGTCAATCAAAAAAGCCATGAGACGGTGTTCCCACTATCTTTGATTATTTGTGTGTTGTCGTCGTCGTCGTCGTCGTCGTCGTCGTCGTCGTCGTCGTGGTGGTGGTTGTTGTTGGTGTTGTTGTTGTTGTTGTGGTTGTGGTTCTGGTTGTGGTTGTGGTTGTGGTTGTGGTTGTGGTTGTGGTTGTGGTTGTTGTTGTTGTTGTTGTTGTTGTTGTTGTTGTTGTTGTTGTTGTTGTTGTTGTTGTTGTTGTTGTTGTTGTTGTTGTTGTTGTTGTTGTTGTTGTTGTTGTTGTTGTTCCTTGTTGTTGTTTTACGTGTTTTTATTTTTCGTCCAATATCCGCCTGAATGGGGACATGCCCGGCCTACAAGTAGCGGCACTGGTACCTCAGTCTGGCCTCCCCACGAGCCTCGATCTCCAGCCCTCGGGCCGCGAGCCTCGAGCGCTTCGGGTCTGGGGCCTCGAGCCTTCACATCGTCGAGCCTCCATCCTCGTGCCCGCCGGCTCTCAGAGCCTCGAGGATCGGGGCTCGAGCCTCGGACCCCTCGAGGTTCGACCCTCGAGCCTCGACGGCCGGAGCGGTCGGAGGACGTCAGGCCGCAGCTCCTGCGCTTCTCGTTCGGCGACGTGGCGGCGGTCCTGGAGGCGGCCGTGGAGCAGAACGCGAGGCACCAGGCCTGCGGCCGCCCGCTGTGGCGGGCTCGCGGGGTCCTGTTTTTTTTGGAGGCGTCGTCGCTTTAGGCAACAGGTGCTCGCCAGCATGGGCCCCCAAACCGTGTGTTTCCATAAGCCCATGTCGTGTAGCCTGTGTGTGCAAGTGAGCAGAGGAGGAAGAGGTACCGATACCGCTACCCTTACCCCGCTTTTCCCTATTCGGTCCTCCTGGGAGGCCCTCGTCGCCACCGCTGGATTCGCCTCGAAATCCGGGTCAAAACGCACCCCAGGGGAGGTCTGGGGAGTAGCGGTGTCGGTACCTCTTGGTTTCCCCAGTTGATGTGGGGCATTTCATGTCGAAAAATCTGGAGCTGCCAACTCCATTGCTCGCGCAATCCTCCCACCCTGTCACCCGCAACTTGGTTTGCAGCACCCCTGCGGCGGCGATTGCGATGACTGCGTGGCGCTGGCTGGCGCATCGCTGCGGCCGCGCTGGCGCGTGCAGGCCCGCGCGCAGAGAGCGGCCAGTTAGTCTGAAGCGACCGGGCGCGGCCGCGGTGGCGCTGACCGCTGGGGGCTCCCCAGCGCGTCCCGCAGGCCGCGCTGACGCGCGGGCACTTCAGTGCGAGTCGGTGACTCGGGCTCGGGGGACGCAATCTATACATATCCACTGCTCCCTGGCCAGGCCCATCCTGAACCCAGGAGCTGTGTATACGCCCTCCTGGCCAAACCAGGAGGGCGTGGCGTATACACAGCTGCTGTGTTCAGGATGGGCCTGGCCAGGGAGCAGTGGATATGTATAGATTGCGTCGCCCTATCGGGCGGGCGCGGTATCATGGCGACGTCGACAAAGGCAGACACGATGATGCTCGTAGCGGTGATGGTGACGATGATGACGATGACGACGGCATGGCCAACGACGGCGCCTATGCTGTTCACGCCGATGACGATGATGGTGTTCACGTGCCCGTGATTAAGGCTTTTGGAAGGATTTCGACGTGCGCGCGTGGCCGACGGGCGCGAGTGGCCCGCCCGCGTGATGTCATTTCCCAGGGATCGTGCCTCCCAGTAAGCGCGCCAGGGTGTTCGAATGCTGTCGACCTGCGCGCTCGAGAGGTTTGTTTTGTCCTCTTTGAACCAGCTGAACAACTTATGGTTGCCCCAAATGTATTTCGCGAAACCATGTTGCAAAACTGCTGGTTTTCATATGCTCTCGGGAACCTTGATTTTGAACTCTTCTCGGGAGTTTGGGTTTGTGTTGAACGGTTCCCGGCATGCGCGCGTGACGACGTGCGCGTGTGGATTGTATCACGATCGGCGCAAAAAGGATTTTGAACATGGGTAGTGTTTGATTTTCGAGTGCGCGTGCATAGTTGCATTTGTCGGCGATGAGGGAGAGGGCGGTAAGCGATTTTACAAGCGCGATATGAATCCACAGTCACAACCGACGATGGGGCAGACTCGTACGTAACTGCACCATCCTAGGGCGTGGGCCCGAACAGCCATTTCAATTTGCTGCAGGCGATGGCGCCAATCCACTTCATGGACCTCCTCTTCCCAGTGGCTCGAGCAGCGACGCTGAAACAGGCTCCGACGACAGCAACATCCCGATGATCGCCAATACGATTTCCAAGCTGAGCTCCAGTGGTCGCATTTGCACGCTGCTGTTCGAAGCCCGCGGCGCCAGCGATGACGGTCTCACCCTGGGAGCAGGAACGCCATGGGGCGAACTCACTGAATGCGCGACAGCGTGACCTACACCTTCGATTCTTTTCGTCTCCTGTGCGGGCCAGGTCGGGCAGCTTTTGATTTGGCCTTAGTGGTGTTTTGATTATGTTTTCGGTGTGCTCCATCAACAGCAGGTCGCCCCCCTTGTAGGAGATGCGTCGCCAATGGGTGATGGTAGACGCAGGCGCGCAGCTGGAGAGATGCCTTACCGCACGGTGCGCCCCAGCCATCACAAGAGGGCCGTCTCGAGGTCGAACTGTCTGGTTTGGACCCAGCTGCTGTTATCCGCTTTGCTGGGCAGAATGCGCTTTGGTGCGTGGCGATCCTTCAGTGGGCATCTGACCCCCCGAGGATACCGTTCGACCGCCAAGTAGAAGGTGCAATCTGTTGGGCACCAAGTCAATTTAGAAATTCCCCCACGGTCTGAACATAATCAGTGCGTTTATCCGGTTCCACAAAACAACGTCACCCTGAAACCATGATCACCGGCCACCGCCGACCAGCCCCTCCATACGGTACTGAACGGGACGGCTGACCGGGTTCACCCGCAGGGTGAAACATACAGAGACGACGGGCATGGGACAGACGTACTGTGCGGCCGGGCATTCAGTACGGGATCTGATTGCCATGCTTGCTGAGGCCACAACAAGTTGCCGTAACGAACATGTGATGTGCATCTCTCTGACTGTGACTGCTGCTCGTACTTCTCATCCGGTGGACTTGCGAATTCAGGCGAGAAAATGCTTCGGGTCTCGGAGGAAGCCGACCAGGGTGCCCTTGGCGAGAGCGGGACGGCCGCACGACTGCCAGCAGCCCCGCGTGCGCGTCCAGCAGAGGCGCCCTTGGCAGCCCCTGGCGCCCGCTGGAAGGCACCCACCGCGACTGCGGCGCCGCGGTTTTTGGAGCAGAGAGCACGCCGACCAGCTCCTCCGGCCTCCTCCCCGCCGACTCCTCCACAACGACGGCGGTTGCCGAAACTTTGGCTCTCCACACTCCACGGCCTGCCTCGGGAGGAGGTGGAGGAGGGCATCGACAGGCAGGAGGTAAAGGAGGAATGCGCGAGGAGGAATGCGCGAGGAGGAGGAGGAGGGGGGCAACGACAAGGCAGGAGGAGGTGACGTGTGTGAGGGGAATGTGGGAGGAGGGGGGGGACGATGAGGAGGAGAGTGAGAAGAGGGAGGAGGAGATGAGGAGGAGAGCATCCTCCGCGGCCGAGGAGGACGAGGATGAGGACGATGAGGAGCGGCAGGAGGCGGACGTCTCGCGTGAGGAGGAGGGGGGGGGCAGGTGGAGGAAGGGCGCCGGCAGAGAGGGAGCCTGGACCAGGACGAGACGTCGGGGAGCTCGGAGCGCTGCAGGGAAGGGGCCGCTGCCAGCCAGACCCACGGCACCGTCGCGAGCGCGGGGCCTCCGTGCGGGACGCGCTGCAGAGATCGGGGCCCCCTCGCGCTCTCTCGAGGGGTCCATGGGGTTGCCCTCCTCGTCTCGCGGTCGCCAGCGGAAGCCAGCGGCAGTGAGAGGCGTCCGCCGCGCGCGGCGCCGTGGGCTCCCACATCGATAGCATTAAGTCGGGCACGGCCCTTTCTAGGAGGAAGAATCAAAAATAGTCAAGAAAATAATCCGGGGACGATGTCTTGAAAATTTTTGGTTAGTTTGGTGTATTTATTTGGCTATTTCTTATTTTCCATCCAAAATCCGCCTATAGAGGGACATGCCCGACCTAGGGGTAGCATGATCGATGGCGCCGCGAATGCGGCAAGCTGTCAGCTAGCCCTTCACGAAGCCTCCAGGGCCTGACGCAGCAGAGGGTAGTGCGCCCCCAGAGGAGGTAACAGCTCGCTCCCCCCCCCCAGGAGCAAACAGCCTTCTTTTGACTCAGGCTGTCTGAAGCGAGCCACGTGGAGAACTGTGCAGATGCGGCAGCGGCAGGGCGCTTCCAGGTCGGCACCGCGCAGGCCATTTCCGGGGCCGGGTCGTCGGGCTGTCGGAGGCGTTCCAGGGAGGGCCTCGCCTCCGTGGATCGAAGGATTTGTCGTGCCTCCCGCGGCGGGAAGCCGCGGAAGGGCCGCGGAAGCCAGTGTAAGTAAAACGAGGCCGCCTCCGCGGGCGGAAGCCGGCTGAAGGCCGGCGGGGGCCGGCGGAAGTATAGGATCGCGCCCCAAGGGCAGGGCTTTTTTTTGGTTCAGGGTTTCCGGGGTCGACCAGCTGACGAACCTTGAGGCTCCTCATCGTCGCCATCCCTGGCCGCCGCCGTCGCCGTCGCTCGTGCCCTGCTGCCCCCCCCCGGGATGCGCCCGGTCTCCCACGTGGCCGCCGCAGGCGGCAGACTGTCGCGAGATCAAGGACCAGCTGGTCAGCATGGAGGAGCCCCGGGCCCCCCAGCCTCCTCCCTCCGGGGGCCTCCCCGGCGTGTCGCTCAGAGCCTGTTTTTTTTAGGCTCTGGCAAGTTTACTTGCATGGACGGGGGGGGAGGGGGGCTGAGCCTGAAGCAAGCCGCAAACGACTTGCACGTTCGGGGGGGCGCGGAAATCACGCAAGTCGAAAGGCACTTGCACGCTAGTGTTCGCTTGAAGAGGGGCGAGGGGGGGAGGGGGGGGGGGCGAACCCATGCAAGTAAACTTGCCTGAATCTGGAAAAAACAGGCTCTCAGCGTGTCGCTCCGCCGGTTCCTGGCCCACCGTGCTGCGGCGCGACACGCGGTCCACTAGCGAGTCTAGGGGCGTCAACGCCACAAGCCTCTCCCGGCCTCCCGCCCCGCGGAGCGGGGCGGCACGCTGTCCACCTGCAGGGCATAGCGTGTCGCCAGGGCCGACACGCCGAGCAAACGTTCTGACCGTGGCTGAGCTGAGTCTGATGCGGTGCTACTTTTTGGTTGATGATCTAGGCTCTTTTGGACATCGCACGGGATCGATGTCCTAGGCAAGAGAGGCAGCCCACCAGACACCCAAAGACACGAAGTCCGCAATGCGAGGATATGATGTTACATTGATGCGATGTGATGTAATCCCTCTGCTGGAATGCGCAAGGTTCGCTATATGTGTGTTCAGCTTTTCTTTTTTCCCCTTTATCAGGGGAGAGGCGGAGGCGAGGGGGGAAGGGAAGGGCGGAGGGATTGGAAGGGGAGGGGAACGGCGACAAGAGAGGAAGTCGGGCCATGTTGCCGGGTGCCGATCGCGAAGAACTTTGGACGCAACTCGTTGGCCTCGAATCGGCGGCTTAGTCTTGCCAGGGTGCTAGGGGCGCCGCTTACGCTTAGGACTATGCAGTTCGGGCAGCGCTCGTAGTAGAATTGCCGTCGCAGTCGGGGTGTTCGCGGTGTCTGTAGTGGTGATTGTCAGAAGCCGTGTAGCCACATGGCGGCAGTTGCAATCGCTCTGCCCTGAGCAGTAGCAGCAACGGTACTGGTGCCGTAGGAGCAACGGCAGTCGCGTGGCAGTAGCACCTGAAGTTGCCCTGAAGCGTTTGTTGGAAGCTCTAATTTCTTAAAGTATGGGCATTCAGAGTATTCGTGGTGCTGGTTGTTTGGACAGTCGCAGTAGTGGCGAGTGTAGCAGTAATGGCACTGGCCCTCTACAAAGTAGCAGTAACTGTTCTAGAAGCAACACCAGTAGTTGGAACCAGGGTAGTAGTGCGCCAATAGCAGTAGCATCGTCAATGTAGTATCTGGAGTTGGAATCGAAGCAGGACTCGCATTGGTAGTGTCAGTGGCAGCGCTCGCTGCAGCACCAGTAGTGGCAGCACGTTTGGTAGTAGCTTCGCCGCAACAGTCGTTGAAACAGTGGTGGTAACAGTTGGGAGAAGTTTGAGTCTTTCCTTTTGCAGACAAGGGGGGAAGGCTGTATGGCTTCCACTTCCACCGTGGGTGGCAGTAGTAGTGCCACAGGCAAGCTTATGAATAGCAGTAGAAGTAGAAACAACCAGTAGTAGTACTGAAGCAGTAATGCGTACGGATGTGCTTATAGTGCGGGCCCACCCGGCCTCTCACGACCGATCTTGCCCCTCCAATTTCAGGCAGGGCGTCCGTCACCAGCAGTACCCAGGGCCTCGCGGAGACCAGAGGCACGCATGAGGCCCCTCGCTGCCGTACGCGAGGATGCCTGTCACCGCTGCGCAGCGATGCGCGGGTGCTGTGGGATGGGATGGGAGGGACGAGGAGGAGGGGGAGGGGGAGGAGGTTGAGGACAAGGCAGGGGGAGGATAATGAGGGGGATGAGTTAGGGGAGGACGAGGATGATGAGGAGGCGTGGGAGGGGGAGGAGGGAGGTGAGGAGACAACGGGAGGATCATGCCGGACGAGGAGGAGGAGGATAAGGAGGAGGAGGAGAGGAGGAGGAGGAGGAGGAGGAGGAGGGGGGAGGAGGAGGAGGAGGAGGAGGAGGAGGAGGAGGGAGGAGGAGGAGGAGAGGGAGGAGGAGGCTAAGGAGGAGGAGGGGAGGAAGAGGAGGCTCCGGAGAGGAGGAGAGGAGGAGAGGAGGAGGAGGAGGGAGGAGGAGGAGGAGGAGGAGGAGGAGGAGGAGGAGGAGGAGGAGGAGGTGGAGGAGGAGGAGAAACGGCGCCGCGAGGAGAGCCCTGGCTCTGGGCGGCTGCCGCTGTCCGACTTCTACGCGGCGGCTCTCCAGAGCGACCGGGGCGCAGGGCAAAGCGGGGGCGGGGCGGTCTCTCCAGCCTCCCCTCCTCCCTCCTCCCTCCTCCTCCTCCTCCTCCTCCTCCCTCCTCCTCCCCTCCTCTCCTCCTCCCTCCTCCTCCTCCTCCCCTCCTCCTCCTCCTCCTCCTCCTCCTCCTCCTCCTCCTCCTCCTGCCGCCAGCAGCTACCGAGCTCGCACACATGCGAGACAAGTCCAAGCAACGCAGCAATGGACTCACCAGTTGCCAAGGCTTCCGACTCCGACTCCGACTCCTCCTCCGCCTCCTAACGAAGTGAACCCCACCTCCCCCTTCAGAGCTCGTGGGGTGGTGGGGGAGGGTTCGCATGTGGCCTCCTATGTGGGGAGAGGCTGTGTTCGGATCCGGACGCGATGATAACTATAGCAACGGGATCAGCGGATGAAAGGACGAACAGTGGTAGCCGGCGCTGGCGCTGCTCAGCGAGATGTGGGAGGCGGCTCTGGAACCCAATGTCGTCACCAATTGCAGCGCTGGGATCAGCCGGGCGAGAAGGGCAATCAATGGCAGCAGGCTCTGTTGCTGCTCAACGAGACGCGGGAGGTGAAGTCGGAATCCGACCTCATCATTTACAGCGCTGGGATCAGGGCGTACGTCAAGGGCGATCAGTTGCAGCGTAGTTTGGCGCCGCTCGCCCAGATGCGCGAGGTGACCCCCCCGCGACCCACCCCCGACTCACCCCCGACCCTCTCCACGAGGCACCCCGCGACCCACCCGCGACTCGCACGCGACCCACCCGCGACCCACCCCGCGCCCGCCCTCTGATTTTTTTATCCGCAGTTGCGAGGTGACCCCTTCCCGCAGGGGCAGCTCGTCCGTCCCGGATCCATGCCTGGCGGTCTTGGGACGAGGGAGCGGAGAATCGTGCCGCCCCGTCCGCCCTGCTGGGTCAGCCTGTCCGTCACGGATCCGTGCCGAGAGCGGCGGCCCCAGAGGCCGACATGTAGAGCGAGCTTGGGCGTCGCGACATGGGAGAGAGGCGGGCTGGGACTGCTCGGGGGGCCTGTTGAGATTGAGACCTGATGGGGCTACCTGGGAGGCTCTCTGTATTTCCTGGGGATTCCGAGGGAATCCGAATGTCTATGGCGGTCCTCATCGCCGTTTTCGTCGTACTCATCCTCGCTGTCGTCCTCTTCGTCGTCGTCGTCGTTGTCGTCGTCGTCGTCATCGTCCTCACCGCCGTCGTCTTCGTGGTCGTCGTCGTTGTCGTTGTCGTCGTCAACTCGTCGTCGTCGTCTTCGTTGTTGTCGTCGTCGTTGTCGTCGTCGTCATCGTCGTCGTCCTCCTCGTCCTCGTCGTCGTCCTCACCTTCGTCGTCACCGTGGTCGTCACCGTCGTCGTCGTCATCGTCGTTGTCATCGTCCTCACCGTCGTCGTCGTCGTCGTCGTCGACGTCGTTGTCGTTGTCGTCTTCAACTCGTCGTCGACGTCGTCGTCGTCGTCATCGTTGTCGTCGTCGTCGTCGTCGTCGTCGTCGTCGTCCTCGTCCTCGTCCTCGTCGTCGTCCTCGTCGTCGTCGTCGTCGTCGTTTCGTCGTCACCGTCATCTTTGTCGACGTCCTCGTCGTCGTGGTCGCCCTCGTGGCGGGCGGGCACGCGCGCGCGCGTGCGGGCGGGCAGGCGGGCGAGCGGGCTTGCCGGCGGGCGCGCGGGCAGGGGGGCTCGCGGGCAGGCGGGCGGGCGGGCGGGTGGGCGCGCGGGCGGGCGGGTTGGCGGGCGGGCGGGCGCGCGCGCGGGAGGGCGGTCGGGCGGGCGGGCGGCTGGGCGACCCGCCGACAAACCAAACCGACCAACGAACCGTATTTTAGCCATGTTGGTTCAAGCCATTTTGACCCCAGGTATCTTGGCTCACGCCGCGGTGCCTCGTCTGTTCGGATGCTTTCCTTCGAAGCGTCGATCAAGAACTGCGGTCGGACAAAACAATGGAGCGAAGCACTGCGGTTGCTCCGCGAAGGAGTACGATTTGGCGTTCGACTCGCCGAAAGCCATTATGTTGCGACTGCCAGCGCATGCTTAAAAGCCGGGCAATGGCAACACGCGCTGTCAGTGCTCAGTGAGATGTGGGAGGCGAAGCTGGAGCCCAACGTCATCTCTCCTACAATGGCTGCCCCAGCGCTCGCGGATGGGGAGAGCAGTGGCAGCGGACTGGCCCCTCCGGCCTCCTCCGGCCCCTGCGAGCCCCAGCAGGCCCCAGCGCGCTTCCAAGATGGCCCAAGAGCGGTCCGAGACGCACCAGGTGGCCCCCAAGAGGGCCCCCAGACGGCCAAAGACGGTCCAAGAGAGTCTCCGAGACGCGCCCAGAGCGCTCGACAACGCCTCAGACAGCCTCCAGACAGCCTAAGAGGCCCCCAAGACGTTCCAAGTGCACCAAGAGAGCCCGAACACCGAAAAATCGTCCCATTCCCTAGGGGAAATACATTTTGGCAGTTCCTTGGCTTGCCCTCTTCATAGCGTCCAAGGCGGCCATACAGGGTCACGAGATGGCCCCAGGACGGCTCCTGAGGCGCCCCTGGTGGCCCACGGGGTACCCAAGACAGCCTCAAGAGCGGCCCAGGACGGCCCAAGACGACCCCCAGACAGTCCCTAGGCTGCTCCACAGATGCCCAAGACGGCCCCAGACAACCCCCAGACGGCCCCGTACGACCTCAACACGGCCCATGAGGCACCCGAGGCAGCCCAAGGGGGCCCCAGGAGGGCATCCAGCAGGCCGAAACGAAGCGATGAGAGGCTCCTTAACGACCCCCAGAGGCCCCAAGATGACGGCCCAAGAAGCACCGAAGACAGCACCAACAGCAGCCAAAGACTGCCTAAAACGGCTCGAAGACTGTCATCATGGGGCTTCTCGGCCCTCCTGACACTTGTTTGGCGCACCCTGCCAGATTTGGCCCCAAATCCCTCGCCCTTTTTGTCGGTCTGGAGCCCTCTCCGCGGCCTCTTGGGGCCATGCCGTGTTTCGCTCTTGCAGCCCTCTCGGGGGTCTCTTGGGCCAGCATGGGGCTATTTTGGAGGCGCTTGACGCGATCTTGGGCCGTCTGGGGCCGTTTGGGGTCGACGTCCCGAATGATGTATGGGGCCATTTGGGAGGCGTCTGACGCGATCTTGGGCCGTCATGGGACTTTTTGGCCGACGTTCCACATGATGTGACGACGACGACGATGACCACCACGACGACGACGACGACGACGATGACCACGACGACGACGACGACGACGACGACGACGACGACGACGACGACGACGACGACGACGACGACGATGATGATGATGATGATGATGATGATGATGATGATGATGATGATGATGATGATGATGATGATGATGAGGAGGAGGAGGATAATGATGATGATGGTGGTGATGACAACGATGACGATGATGATTATGCTGCTGATGATGATGGTGATGATGGTGATGTTGATGATGATGCTGACGTTGATGCTGATGATGCTGATGATGATCATGGCGTTGATGATGATTACGATGCTGATGTTGATGCTGCTTATAATGATGCTGATGATGATGTTGCTGATGATGATGATGATGACGATGATGATGATGGTGATGCTGCTGATGATGATGGTGATGATGATGCTGATGATGATGATGATCATGATGATGATGACGATGATGATGATGATGATAATGAAGCTGACGATGAAGAAGAAGGAGTCTGCCAAGAGTGAATGGTGACACGGGCCATCTCGATCCAGTTCCTGACTCCGTGCCCGGGCTCCGCATGGGGCTCTTCGGCCTCCCTGACGCTTGCTTGGCGCTCCCTGCCGGATTTGGCCCAAAGTCCCATTTACGTTTGGTCTGTCACGAGCCCTCTCCTTGGCCTTTTGGGGCCCTGACGTGTTTCGTTCTTGCAGCCCTCCTGGGGGCCTCTTGGGCCACTATGGGGCCACCTTCGAGCAACCTTGGGTCGGGCCGTATTGGGCCGACGCTCCAACGACACGCAGAAGGGGCAAGCATTACCAACAACATGCAACAGCGGCAGCGAGCAACATTACGCAGAGGCATGCGCCGAATGCGAGGATCGAGCCCCGCGTTGTAATGACACACCCAGAGGCCCCCACACGCTTCATCCCGCAAGTGGACGTAGTCCACGGGTAAGCCCTAGTCTCTCCTACAATAGCCGGGTCCGCGCGTGCGGTGCGGAGCGCAGTGGCAGCGAGCCGCCCTCTCCCCCCCCCCCCGGCCGCTTCGGGGTGGACGTCGGGGTCGCCTCGGCGCCTCTGGAGCGGCTCCGATCTGGAGCGGTTCCGATCGCGCAGCGGACGCTCCGTGACTGCCGAAGATCCGCTCCAGACGCCCCCAAGACGGCCTCAGGACGGCTCAAGACGCCCCCGAGCTGCCCCGAGATACCTCCGAGCGGGCCCTTACGACGCAAAAAGTCGTCCCATTCCATTCGTAAAACGTACATTTTTGGAGAACTCGCTCTTCTGGTCTGCACGGCGTCCGAGTCGGTCGAGGACGCTTCCAAGACCACCCCAACACGGCCCAAGAGGCCCCCAAGAGAGTCCCAGTCGACACCAAAACGGCCCCTCAGGGCCCCAAGACGGCTCGCGAGGGACCCACGAGGGCCCCCAGAAGCTCCCAAGAGAGCCCCGAGAGGGCCACGGGAGGCGCCCAAGAGGGCCTCCAAGTACCCCCAGAGCGCCCCAAGACGGCCCGTGCCCCCCAAGACGGCCCCGGAGGGCCCCAGAGCGGCCCCACAGCGCCTCCAGAGAACCCAAAAGAGCTTGGACAGGACCCTCCAAGAGGCTCCCAAGAGAGCCCCAGGAGGGCCCGGGGGTGTCGCCGCCGCCATCGCCGCCGCCGCCGTCGTCGTCGCCGTCGCCTGCGCCCAGAAGGAAATTCGGAGGGGCGCCGTCGCCGTCGCCGTCGCCGTTGCCGTCTTCGTTGTCGTCGTCGTCGTCGTCGTCGTCGTCGTCGTCGTCGTCGTCGTCGTCGTCGTCGTCGTCGTCGTCGTCGTCGTCACGTCAAAAAAACGCCACCGGGCCCTGTCAAGTGCCCCCCACAGGGATCTACAAGCACTTTTCCTTAGAAAAATGCTCCGCAGGCCCCTTTGGCGCTTAGAGCGGGCCTGCAGTATGCGATAGTGGCCCTCGGAGGCCCTCTTAGAGCCATCTTGGGCCATCTTCGCAATTCGCACCGCTCCGACCCCCGCCATCTTGGGCCGTCTTCGCTGTTCTCACCGCTCTGAACGCTCCTAACCGCTGGGGCCCCCTCCCCTTGCCCCTTTCCGTAGCCATTGTGGCCTTCGGGTCCCTCCAAGACAGGACCGGTTGCATTCTGCCACAGAGAGGCTTCTCGTGGCAAAACGGTGGGTCCGCGCCCGGCGGCGTCCTGGGGCCCTCTTGGAGCCCTTTGGGGGCCCTCTTCGTGCCCTCTGGTACGACCCACCCATGGTTCGGCAACCCCCGAGCGCGAGACAGCAAACACAGGTGCACACTAGTCAGCTACAGCGCTGGGGTCAGCGCGTGCGCGAAGGGCGGGCAGTGGCAGCCAGCGCTGGCGCTGCTGAGCGAGATGGGGAAGGCAAAGCTGGAGCCCGACGTCATTTGTACCACAATTTTGGCCGAAACGCGTGCGAGAAGGGCTTTTGTTCGAAAGCCCGCCCTGGGGTGCCTCGAGAGCCCGCGGGGCATGCGGAAAACACAGCTGGAACGCCAAACCACACCCTTGGGCACCTCCAGGACGCTCCCCGACAGTTCTGGAAAGCCCCTGGGCCGCTCGTCGACGGCTCCTGGGCCCCCAGCGCCGCTCCCCCGAGCCCCCGACACCTCCAGAAGGCCCCTGGGCTGCTCGCCGACGGCTCCCTCGCCCCCAGCTCGGCCCAAGACGGGCCCCCAGAGAGCCACGACCCCCAGATCGTCCCAAGACGGCTTCCCGCAAGCCCAAAACCAAACCCCATACCCCACACCGAGCCCCCGACACCTCCAGAAGGCCCCTGTGCCGCTCGCCGACGGCTCCCTCGCCCCCAGCTCGGCCCAAGACGGCCTCCCGGATAGCCTTACGCACGCCTCCCGACGGCCCCAGAAGGTCCCTGGGCGCTCGCCGACGGCTCCACGACACCCGCATCGCCCCGAGACGGCTTCACGCAAGCCCCAAACCAAGCTGCATACCCAACACCGAGCCCTCTCGCCCCCCGACGGCCTCCCGGATGACCTCCAGGACGCCCACCAACGGCTCCAGAAGGACCTTCCCATGACGCCAGAAGTTGCTCAACCCCACCCCAGGCCCTGGAGCATTCTGAGCTTCCCCAGACCCTCTCGGGAGCTTCCTGTCGACCCCAGCAGCGGCCGCGGCATGCTTTCACGGTTTCAGATGCTGTTGTTACCCAGGCCTCGTAGTATTGGTGACAAGGGGGGCCTTTCTCAACCGCCTCGTGTCGACCCCGTCTTGGCGCCCAGACCACTCCGACCACTCTAACCTGCCGCACGCACCACCTGGAGCCCTAGACCATTCCAAGCTGCCTCAGGCCCTCTCAAGCGCCTCCTATCGTACCCCAGGCGCACCACGCCCCAGACCCCAGCCCGGACCCTGAACCACTCTGAGCTCCCCCTGCCCTCCTCTAGAGCCTCACGCGCGGGTTCCAGACCTCTGAGCCCTCGGAGTTCTTGCCGGGGGCCCCCAAACGGTGTGGTGACCACACCGCGCGGTGAGTCGGTAGGGATTCGGGGTCACCGCACGGTTTTGGGCCTCGGGCCGTTCTCCGAGGACGTCTCGGGCGGCAGGGGCCTCCGGGGTCCCAAGACCCTGCGGTCACGGACCGTGCGGTGAGGTCTTGGGGGATTTCGAGGTCACCGCACGGTCCGTCACCGCACCGATTGGGGGACTCCAAGTCTTGTAGACCCACAGCTTCGCGAAGCTTCCCAGGTCCAGCGGGCTGTCCTGCGGCGGCTCCGTCGCGCCTGCCTTGAATATGCGCTCCCCGGGCCGCCCGGCGAGTTTTCCAGGGCGCCCTTCCCCAGAGCGAAGAGCCCTCAGACCTTCACCCCAGGCACCCAGGCTTAATTATGTCGGGCGTGCCCCCCTACAGGGGGAGTTTCGAGCAAAGCATTGAGCAAACCCGCAGGCGTCGGGCACAGATGGGCGTTCGGGACCAATACATTGACTTGCCAGCCGCGAAATCTCCACGGGTTCACACTAGTCAGCTACAATGCTGGGATCAGCGCGTGCGCGAAGGGCGAGCAGTGGCAGCCAGCGCTGGCGCTGCTGAGTGAGATGTGGGAAGTAAAGCTGGAGCCCGACGTCATCTGTACAACAATTCCTGGCGAAGCGCGTGCGAGTAGTAGAAGCAGTGGCAGCGCCCCAGGCCGCCCAGAGAGCCCGCGGGCCGCCCAGAGAGCCTCCGGGACGCTCTTCGACGGCCTGGAGCGCTCGCCGACTGCTCCAGGACCCCCAGATCGCCCCAAGACGGCCTTACAGACGCCCAAGAGGGCCGAAGCCGACCCGACCGGAGCCCTATGACGGCCCAAGAAGGCCAGAGAGACGGCACCCGAGGATCGCGTGGACGGCGCCCAGGGGCAATCCTTGTGCTTTTTCAAAAGGTTTCAAGGGTTTTCCTGTTCCCGCCATTTCGGGCCTACAACGGCCCAGGGTGGCCCCTGGGGCTTCCCAGATCGCCCCTGCACGGCCCAAGAGGGCCCCAGGAGGGCCCCCAGACGGCCCAAGAAGGCTTCCAGACAGCCCAAGAGGGCCCCAAGACGGCCCAAGAGAGCTTCAAGTGACCCCCAAGTCAGCCCCAATTGGGCCCAAGATCCCGCCCGAGTGTGCCCAAAGCGACCTCCGAAACGGCCCGAGACCCCCAAGATGGCCCCAAGACGCCCCGAGAAGGGCTCCAGAGCGCCGCCCAAGAGGGCCCAAAGCGACTTCCTAGACGGCCCGAGACCCCGAAGATGGCCCCAAGACGCCCCAAGAAGCCCCGGACACGGTCTCAGAGGACCCCAGCCACGGCTTCCGAGCCCCAGGACTTCTCGCTTCTTCTGACTCCACCTTCCCATCGACCTCTTCTTCCTTCTGGAAACATCAACACGCCTCAGAAAGCATGGGGTTTTCGCTAATAGCGCCCGGCCTTGGCGCGATTAGCGAAAACCCGCAGGTTTTTGCCACTGCATCACGCCAACTGCGCTCCCGACCCAGGACCAGAGGCCCCGGACACGGCCCGAAGGGCTTCCCTCCACTGCGCCCTGCCCTCCCGCAGGCCTCGACGGCACGTGCGCGTTTGGGACCAACGCCTGGACCTGCGGGCCGTGGATTATCCACGGGTTCACACTGGTCTCTCCTACATGGCCGGTGGAAGCGCATGCGAGAAGCCCAGGGTCTCGTGTGCACAAAATCGCCCCTTTACGGCGCCACCACGGGGCCGAATCGCTCAGGCCCGTCCCTGAGGCGCTCCATAGGGGTTCCCAGACCGTCCAAGAGCGCTCCAAGACGGCCTCAATGGGTCCCGAGACGGCCCACAAGGGCCCGAAGCCTTCCGGGGGGGGGGCTCCACGAGAAGACGCCCCGAGAGGGCCCCGAGCGCACGCCAAAGAGGCACAAATCGTCATATTCGCCGATGGGGGAACGTATTTTTTCAGCATGCCCGCCTTGTGTGCTCCTCAGCGGCCCAGGATACGCCAAGAGGCCTCCCAAACCGCCCCAAGAAGACGCCAGCGGCCCCTCAGAGGGCCCCAAGACGGCCCACAAGAGCCCCAAGACGACGCCAGCGAGTATTGAAACGGCCTCACAGAACCCCAAGACGGCCCCAAGAGAGCTCCGAGGGGGCCCCAAGAGGCTCCCAAGACGGCCTCAGGCAGCTTCAAGAGAGCTCCAAGACGGTCCAAGGCCTCCCGGACGCCCCGTGACGGCCCCAAATGGCCCCAACACGTCCCAAAACGTTCCCAGAGCGGCCCAAACAAGCCTCAGAATGGCCCGAAAAAGACCCCCGCAAGGACCACCAAGCAGGCCCAGAAAAGCCAATTAAAAGAGTAATCGGTGAAGTACAAAGCTCTTCTCACCAAGGCTCCCAAGAGCGAGACGCAGCGTAGAGAACTCTCCCAGGCACAGATCCCAAGAGCGAGCGGTGACGTCGGGACACCCTTCCGACCTCTCACACAGGAGCACGCACGCACAGCACGCAAGCACAATATATTTCCTGGGCTGTCCCCCGGAAGAGGCTCGGGGGTACAGCCCGGGAACGGCCCCAGAGGCGCACCAAAAAACTTCAAGAGAAAAGGCCCCCAGGAGGCCGCAAGACGGTCCAAGAGGGCCCCAAGAGGCCCCTAGGAGGCCGCAAGACAGCCAACGAGGCCCCAACTGGCCCCCAGGAGCTCGAAAAGAACCCCCGAGAGGCCCACGAACCAATCCCGAGGAGACGGCAGCGCCCGCCATCAGGCTTCGAAGAGGCAACCGGAAACAAGTCACCAGGGCCCTCCGGGTGACTTTTTTCAGGAATCAGGTGCTTTCAAAATTGACACGCGGCGAGACGTACACCGCAGACCCACCATAGCTGTCTGTGACGCCCCGAAGGCTGTCTAGGCGGAGGTATAGCGGAAGGCGGACGAAGAGAATGAAGCGGTCCAAGAGGGTCTCCGAGACGGCCCAGGACCGCTCGAAGACGCTCCATACGAGCCGCGGCAAACGAAATCATTGATTATTCTATGGTTTCTGAAAGATTTCCACCTTCTCGCCATTTCGAGCGAAGACAGGCCCAACTCTGCCTTTTCGAGCCAAGACTGGCCCAAGATGACGTGGACGAAGTCTACGGGTTCGCCCTAGTCTCTACTACATTGCAGGGCCCAGTGCATACCAGAAGGGCGCAGGCTCCATTAACCAATAATCGCCCCGGGCTGGCCCCGGGCCGCCCCGGGAGGCCCCAAGACACGCCAAGGGGGCCCCAAGAGGCCCCCAAGACGGCCCCGGAGGGCCCCGGCACGCCCAGCGAGGGGCCCAAGACGCTCGAGATTGGCCCAAGACGGCTCCAGAGGCCTCCAAGACTCCCCAAGAGGCCTCCCAAGAGGCGTCCCAAGAGGGCCCCGAGCGGCAGAAACCGTCGATTTCCATTGTGTTTTTCGATGGTTTCGGCCTCCTCGCCTTTTCGGCTTCCCGACGCTCCAAGACGGCCCAAGACGTCCCCCAGACCGCTCCAAGACGGCCGAAGAGGACCCCAAGAGAGCCCCAAGACGGGCCAAAAGGGCCCCAAGACGGCCCCAAGACGGCCCCAAGACGGCCCCAGGACGGCCCAGGAGGCGCCCAAGACGGCCCAAGAGGCACCCAATACGGCCCCAGGAGCGGCCCAAGACGGCCCAACAGAGCCCAAGAGGCGCCGAGGCGGGCCTCAGACGGTCCCAAGACGGCCCAAGAGGCACCCAAGATGGCCCAAGAGGGCTCCAGAGCCCCCCAGGAGACCCAAAAGAAGCCCCTCGAAAGGGCCCCCACGAGGCCCTAAGTGGCTTCAGAAATGCCTCCACGAGGGGGTGAGCGGACGAGAGGCGACAGGCATATCGCGGACACAAAAGAGGCGTTTTCGACGCTCCCAGGGCCTTAGATGTTTGTCTCGTCGGACCTCCGAACTTGGATCCTCGAGGCTCCACGCTCGAGGTCCTCCGTGACGCGCTCTTCAAACGGAGGCCCCCACGAAGCCTTCAGTGGCTTCAGAATTCCCTCCAGGAGCGGGGGAGCGGACGAGAGGCGACAGGCATATCGCAGGCAAAAACGCCCCAAGAGATCCCCAAACGGCCCCCACGAAGCCCGAAGTGGCCTCAGAATTGCTTCCAGGAGGGGGGGAGCGGACGAGATGCGACCGGCATATCGAAGGCACAAAAGAACAATGTTGGACGCTCCGAGGGCCTTCGATGTTTCTCTGTTGGGGAGAGTCGTCGTAGGATCGACGATTGCCGACCGAGGGCATGGAGAACCGAGCGAAAGAGGAGGATAAGGTGGAAGAGGAGGAGGAGAAGGAGGAGGAGGAGGAGGAGGGGCCTGGCGCTGCAATGCGAGATGTGGAAAGCCAAGCTGGAGCCCGACGCCATCATGATTGCCTTTCGGCCCTGCAGCCGCACCCCCCCGCGCTTGCCCAGAGATCCCTCGCCACGTCGAGCTGATGTCGTGGACGGAGTCCACAGGTCTGCCCTAGTCAGCTACAGCGCTGGGATCAGCGCGTGCGAGAAGGGCGAGCAGTGGCAGCGGGCACTGGCGCTGCTGAGCAAGATGTGGGAAGTCAAGCTGGAGCCCAACGTCATCTATACTACAATGCAGGGCCCCGCGCGTGCGAGAAAGGCGATTCGGACCAAAATGGCGTAGCAGGCCCCTGCGAGCCCCAGCAGGCCCCGACGAGCTCCGAGACGCTCCAAGATGGCCCAAGAGCGCTCCGAGACGCGTCTGGATGCCTTCACGAGGGCCCCAAGACGGCCCAAGACGGCCCAATAGGGCCTCCGAGAAGGTCCAAGAGCGCTCCAAGACGCCCAATCTAGTTTTCCGACGGTCCAAGAGGCTTCCCAAGACGCTCCAAGTGGGCTCTAAGACGAGCCCTAAGAGAGCCCGAGCAAGGACAAATTGTCTCAATCCCTAGGGGAAGCGGACATTTTTGCAGTTCCTGTGACTTGCGTCCACAACGCGTCCAACACGGCCATACAGACCCTCAGGATCGCCCCGCCCCAAGACGGCCCAAGAGGCACCCAAGACAGCCCACGAGGGCCCAAGGAGGCCCCCATGAGGCCCCCAGGAGGCCCAAAAGAAGCGCCGAGAGGGCCCCAAACGGTTTCAAAGAGCCCCCAAGATGACGGCCCAAGAGGCACCAAAGCCAGCCCCAAGAGCAGCCAACGACGGCCTAAGACGGTCCCAAGACAGCCCAAAAGGGCACCAGGAAGTTCCCAGACGCTCTGCTACATTTCATGGCCGCGCGCGTGCGAAAAGTACGATTCGGACCAAAATGGCGTAGCAGGCGCCCTGGCGGTCCGGTCCCTGCGAGCCCCAGCAGGCCCCGGCGCGCTCCGAGACGCTCCAAGATGGCCCAAGAGCGCTCCGAGGACGCCCCCGGATGCCCCCACGAGGGCCCCCAGACGGCCCAAGACGGCCCAAGAGGGCCTCCGAGAAAGTCCAAGAGCGTTCCAAGACGCCCAAGAGTGGCTCAAGGAGTCACGCCCGCGATCAGACTCCGGCATGCCCCGCCGGCGCCGATGCAGTCTGGCCTGGCGGCGCGACGGGCGCCTCCGACCTCGTGTGCGACAGGGCGCTGGAGCGCGTCAAGCGCAACGTCGCGGCTGAGATGGAGAGCGATGCAATGGGTTGCTCAGAAGCTGATCGACGCCCACTGGCTGCAGACGCCCAAGATACCCTCTCGACTGCCCAAGAGGCCTCCCGAGAGGCTCCAAGTGGGCCCTAAGACGAACCCCAATAGATCCCGAACAAGGACAAATTGTCCCAATCCCCAGGGAAAACGCACATTTTCGCAATTCCCGTGCTTTTCATTTTCGAAGCGTCCACGAGGACAACTCACGCCCCCAAGATCGCACCAGGACGCCTCAGGAGCGCCCCATGAGGGCTCTAAGACGGCTGGGGACGACCCAAGACAGCCCCAAGACCGCTTCTGAGGCGCCCACGACGGCACAAGAGCGGCCAAAGACGGCCCAAGACGGCCCCAAGCCGGCCCCAGAGGCGTGCAAGACGGCCTCTGACGGCCCCAAGACGGCCCAATGGGGCACCCAAGACGGCCAAGAGGGCCCCAAGAGACCCCAGGAGGCCGCAAGACGATCCAAGGGGGCCCCAGGAGGCCAACAAGAAATCCCGAGAGGCCCCAAAACGGTGCCCAAGGAGAAGGAAGCGCCTGCCATCAGTGGCCGTATGGGGGCGTTGCTCTCCTCCGTGGGTGAGGGCGCGAGTGAAAGAGAGCCGAATAATTATTACTAATGCCTCCCAGCTCCAGGGCGCCCTTCGCCGCAGCCGCCCAAGTGAGGCGAGATACACCAGAGGCCTCCAGGGAGCGCAGTCCCCAGCACAGTCTGATCCCAGAGGGGCGCGGAGACGGCGCCCAAAAGGACGTGGCTTCCTGCGCGTCCATTGTGAGTCCCCATGCACAGTCCACCGCGCGACAGTTCGAGTGCCCTGGGGCAGCATCGATCTCTCCCGTGGGCACGAAGCAGACAGCAGGGTCTCGGCGGCACACAGCAGCAGCAAGCGGCGACAGGCAGCAGCTAGAAGCACGCACCAAGCGGAACTGGTCATCAGCAACAACCTGCAACAACAAGCAGCAATAATACGCAGCAGCGCCCTCAAGCACTACCAAGAGTGCACAAAAGCGGCAGCACACAGTAGCATGCGCGGAAAGTGAGGTCTGGCCCCGCAATCAGATGCCAGTTCGAGCAGATTCCGTGGACGGAGTCCACGGGTTAGTCTTACCGACGTCCCTAGCCTCCTTCGGTGCCCACAACCCACGACGACGACAACCACCACCACCACGACAACGACGCCGACTACGACGGGTACGACGGCGGCCTCGTGGCGGCGACGACAACGACGCCGACGATGACGGCGACGACGGCGACCCCGCGACGGCCAAGCTGCTGGAGCGCTGCTAGAGCTCGGACACGAAGACGCGGTCTCGCTGCCGCCGCCCCGGCCGCCGCCGTGCTTATAAGTTTTCGGAAAAGTCTCCGCCGCTCCTCCGAGAACCACTCCAGAACGATGTCGTGGACGGAGTCCACGGGTCAGCCCTCGTCAGCTACAGCGCTGGGATCAGCGCGTGCGAGAAGGGCGAGCAGTGGCAGCAGGCGCTGGCGCTGCTGAGTGAGATGCGGGAGGCGAAGCTGGAGCCCAACGCCATCTGTACCACAATGCAGGGCGAAGCGCGTGCGAGCACGAGGCGAAGCAGTGGCCACCCTCGGGCCGCCCAACCGGGCCCCAGATCCCGCCCGAGCGGGCTCAAAGCGACCTCCGAAACGGCCCGAGACCCCCAAGATGGCTCCAGGACGCCCCAAGAAGGGCTCCAGAGCGCCGCCCAAGATGGCCCAAAGCGACCTCCGAGACGGCCCCAGACCGCCAGGATGGCCCCAAGACGCCCCAAGAAGCCCCGGACACGGTCTCAGAATGCCCGAGCCACGGCCTCTGAGCCCCAGGACTTCTCGCCGATTCTGACTCCACCTTCCCATCGACCTTTTCTTCCTTCTTGAGACTTCAGCCGCGTTCGGGCCCCCACTCAAAAGCCAATCAGGGGTCCCGGGGAACCGGCTGGCGATTTCGGGACCCCTCCACCAGCACTCGAAGACTTCTCCCTGCTGGCGCCTCCTCCATACATGCTCCTACGGGTCCAACGCCTGGACCTGCTGGTCGTGGATTTTCCATGGGGTCACACAAGTCAGCTACAATGCTGGGATCAGCGCGTGCGGGAAGGGCGAGCAGTGGCAGCGGGCGCTGGCGCTGCTCAGCGAGATGTGGGAAGTCAAGCTGGAGCCCAGCGTCATCTGTACTACAATTCCGGGCGAAGCGCGCGCGAGAAGTACAAGCAGTGGCAGCACCCCGGGCCGCCCAGAGAGCTCGCGGGCCGCCCGGAGAGCCTCCGGGCCGCTGCCCGACGGGCCCGGGAGGCCCCCGGACCGCTCGCGGACTGATCCAGGATTCCCAGATCGCCCCAAGACGGCCTCAGGAGGTCCCGAAGACGGCCCAAGACGGTCTAAGAGTGTATCCGAGACGCTTACGATGGCTTCAAGACGCCGTCAAGACGGCCCGAGACGCCTCCACGAGGCCCCCAGAGCGCTCGAAGTGCACCTCCAAGAGGGGCCGCAGAAGCCAAAATCGTTTATTTTCTTTGTTTTTTTCAATGTTTCTGGCCTTCTCGCTTTTTCGGCTGTCCGACGCTCCACGGCCGCTCAAGAGGCCCCCAAGACCGTTCCAAGACGGCCCAAGCGGCATTCAAGACGGCCCCAAGACGGCCCAAGAGGGCCCCAAGACGGCCCAAGAGTCGCCCAAGACGGCCCAAGAGGGCCCCAAGAAGGCCCCAAGAGAGGCCCAAGACAGGGACCCGGAACCGAAAAATCGAAGCCTCCACCCCAAGAGGCCCTCAGGAAGCCCCAAGACGCCCTAAAGAAACGCCAGGACGCTCCCAAGACTTCCCCAGGAGGCCCCCGGAGGCCCCAAAGAGGCTCCAAGAGGCCCCCCAGAGGCCGCCAAGCGCCCCAAAAGGCTCCCCAGAGGCCCCAAAAGAAGACCCAAGAGGCCCCACGACGCCCCCAAACTGCTACCAAGAAGCCCCCAAACTGTCTCCCAGAGGCTCCCGAGAGGCCAACCACGAGATCCCAACCAACATCCACGAGATCTCTTGCCCATTACCCAGGCCGGCGGCGAGATTGCCCGCAGGCCACTATAGCCGGTTCGGGGGCCCTACGTATCCCAGCACCCGCACCCTTGGCTGTATCGATGCAGGGCCCTCGGGGGCCGAAACCTCGGGAGACTCAGATCTTCTTGGGCGGTGTCCAAGGCCTTGGGGTACGTGTGGGGGCCAATCCTGGCGCAGTGGAATGGCCAGAACCTTCGGATTTTCGCTAATCGCGGAGAGGCCGGGCGCGATTAGCCAAAACCCGATGCTTTTTGAGACCTCCACGCCCGGCCTTAATCGGTTACGATAGCCCTCTTGGGTCGGGCGCCTCGTGGGGCGGCTTGGGGCAATCTTGGGGATGTGAGGCCGTCTCGGACCTCGCGTTGGGCTCCCGTGGGCGGCATCTGCGGCTGTGCTGGGCCCTGCTGGGGGTCACTTGAGGCTTCGGCGACACGTGCGAGTTCGGGACCAACGCCTGGACCTGCGGGCCGTGGATTTTCCACGGGTTCACACAAGTCAGCTACAATGCTGGGATCAGCGCGTGCGAGAAGGGCGAGCAGTGGCAGCGGGCGCTGGCGCTGCTGAACGAGATGTGGGAGGCGAAGCTGGAGTCCAGCGTTATCTATACTACAATACCGGGATCAGCGCGTGCGAGCTCGTACAGTTTGGCTCGGGGCGGCTCCCCGCGCCCAGGCGGGCCCCGACCCTAGGCATCCTAGATGTGGTCGCAGTAGCTCGGGTCGGAGGATGGCGCCGCATCGGCGATGCATGGCTGATGCATCGGCGATGCGGCTCGATGCGGAGCCTATTATTCTCCGCGCCGACGACGCCGGTGCATCACGAACGTTGCCGAGGCGCCTCGCCAGTGCATCGCCGATGCATCGCCGATGCATCGGCGATGCGGCGCGATCCTTCGACCCCATCTACTCCGACCCCATCCAGGAGGCCTCAATCGACGGTAGCCGCCGCTCCCGGGACGGCCCCTGACCGCCCAAGACGACCCCTGGACGCTCAAGAGAGCGCCAGAAAGCGTTACGAAAAGCCCCGCCAGAGCCCAAAGCTGCTCCCGAGACGTCCCGGAGGGGCCCAGGACCAGAAAGAGATCTCCAAGACGGCTTCAGAGCACCCCCATGACGCCCCGATTGGCTGAACATCTCGTATTTCTTAATACATATATGTAGGTATGCATGCATGCATGTCTGTCTGTCTGTCTGTCTGTCTGCCTGTCTGTCTGTCTGTCTGTCTGTATGTATGTATGTCTGTATGTATGTATGTATGTATGCATGCATGCATGCATGTATGTAGGTATGTATGTGTATGTTGTGTATGTATGTGTATGTATGTGTATGCATGTGTATGCATGAGCATGTATGTGTATGTATGTGTATGTATGTGCATGTGTATGTATGTGTATGGATGTATGCATGTATGCATGCATGTGTGCACGTATGTGTTGTATGTACGCATGCATGCGTTGATGTCTGCATGTATGGATGCATGCATGTATGTATGTATGTATGTCTGTATGTCTGTATGTATGTATGTATGTATGTATGTATGTATGTATGCATGCATGCATGCATGCATGCATGCATGCATGCATGCATGCAGGTATGTATGTATGTATGCATGTATGTATGTATGTATGCATGCATGTATGTATGTATGTGTGTGTATGTATGTTTGTAGCTCTCCACATGTATGACTATATATATATATATATATAGGTAATGGTTTTCGAGTTTCTGCCCATTTCGGGCCAGGAGACGGCTCCTGGGAGCGCCGAGATGTCTCAGTCTCGCCCGAGACGCCTCCATCATAGCTTTGTGGACGGCCTAAACGACCCACAGGCGCTCCAAGAGAGCCCCAAGACGGGCCCACGGAGCCCCACGGGCCTCCCGGAGACAGCCCCAGGACGGTCCCAAGCGGGCTCCCGTGCGGCCTCGGCACCCCTACAGCCGACCCCAGGAGGCCCATAACGGGTGGAGGGAGGAGGGAGGAGGGAGGAATGGGGGAGGGAGGTGGGGCCCCCCAGGGCCCCATGAGGGCCCTATAGACCGAGGCAGGAGGCACCAAAGAGAGCCCCAAGACAGGCCCACCGAGAGCTTCACGGGCCCCCCGAGCCGGCCCGTCCTGCCGTTCACCGTGCTCCCCCGTGTTCCGCCGTCGTCGCCACCGTCCTCCCCGTCGCCGCCCTTCCGTCGTCGAGGGGGCCTCCCACAGTTCCCAGGACTGTCAGAACACGATTCGGGATGACAAGCCGCCGCGGGGGGAAGGGTCGGGACTTCCGCGGACCGCGCCTTTCCAAAAGACTTTATTTCTGAGCCTGCGGCTGTGCAGGTTGCCCTGGCCGTCGGTTGTCGTCGTCGTCGTCGTCGTCGTCGTCGTCGTCGTCGTCGTCGTCGGCCCCGTCGCGGGGATCCATGTTCGTTGCTGTCCGGAGGCTCTGCGGGGCTGTCCTGAAACGCTCGTGGAGCCTCTGCGGGGCCACATCGGGGGCCGCTGACGCCGCGGGCGTAGCCTCGGCGAGGCTCCATCGGAGCCCGCGGCCCCGGCATGACAAATTTGACATCCTGGTTGGTTTTGTCCGGAGGCTCTGCGGGGCTAAGGGGCTCGACATGCCCCCAATACGGCCCCAGGGACGCCCGAGGTGTTCAACTTTGACGAGCTGTTCACTCACGCTTTGCGAGTCCTCGGTGCAGCACACCGTGGACTCGATCCACGGGTTCACACTAGTCTCCACTACATTGCAGGGACCAGCATGCGAAAAGGGCGGGGTCCGATACGGTTTTTCGGCGCCTCGGCGGCCCCGGCGAGGCCCAGCAGGCCGCGGTGCGCTTCCAAGATGGCCCAAGAGCGCTCCGAGACGCCCCGGGAGGCTTCCAACAATGCCCCCAGTCGTCCCAGGACGGTTCAAGAGGTCCTCCGAGACTGTCCAAGAGCGCTCGAAGACGCTCAAGGTAGTTTCTGGACGGCCCAAGAGGCCCCCCAAACGCTCAAAGTGGGCTACCAGAAGAGGCCCGACAGAGCCCGCACAAGCGCAAATCGTTCCAATCCTTAGGGGAAACGTCATTTGTGTGATTTCCGTGTTTTTCGTTATCAAGGCGTCAAAGACGACAATTCACGCCCCCAAGATCGCCGCAGGACGCTTCACGAGCGCCCCGTGAGGGCCCCAAGACTACCCAAGACGGCCCCGGGACGGTTCCCGTAGCGCCCATGACAGCCCAAGAAGCGCCCAAGACAGCCTCAACAGCGGCTAAAGACGGCCCAAGGGGCTTCCAGACGGTCCCAAGACGGCCCCACAGGCACCCAAGACGGACCCAGACGGCCCCACGAGGCACCCAAGACGGCCCAAGAGGCCCCCAAGAGTCTCCCAGGAGGCTGCGAGACCGCCCAAGAGGGCCCCAAGAGGCCCCCAGGAGGCCGAAAAGAAACCCCGAGAGGCCCCCAAACAGTTCACAACGAGACTGCAGCG